ATATATATATATACATATATACACATATTTTATAAATATCATAATGTACTGTCGAAGTTCCGATTTCACATTAGTAAAGTGCAATTTTCATTATAATCAAAAGAGATCCATGCTATTATATCAATATCTTACTATTACAATAATTGTAGTTGAAAGACGAATCGAATCAGAATTGAAATTAAAAAATAACTATTTGCTATTTCAGCACCTCCTGGATTTTTAGCCACGCCTCAAACGCCGCCGCCAAGGCCAAATATAGGTTTTCATGGACCGCATCAGATGGGCGGATCCAGCGCAGGGCCAGGTCTAATGCCCACGCCGCAGCCACAGCATCAACAGCTAAATGGCATCACTGGGAATCGTGCGCCGCCCGGATTTATGTATCCAACTGGGCCAGCTACGAACCTGCCGCAGCATCCCCTATTGCAGCAGCATGTTTTGCCGCCCAATTTTCCTCGCCCACTGCCAAATCCACATCTGCCCACGGCGCTCAACAACTTTGCCATGCATCCCAGTTTCAATGCGATGCGCGCCGTTGGCATGCATCCGGCAGCCTACATGCAGCCTGTGCTGCCGCCCCGCCTGCCGCCACACAATCTGCTTAATCAGCAGCCCAACTCGATGTACAACATGTTTAACATGCGACTGGTTCAGGAAATTCAGCAGAACCATCCGCTGCTGCAGAACGCGGCAGTTGCTCGCCAGCAGCAGCAGCTCAGTCGACCCGGCGATCGCCAAAAGCAGCAGCAGCTGCTTCCGCAGCAGATGCAGCAGCAACAACAGCAGCAGCAGCAAATGAATCGGTATAGCGGCAACCTGCCTCAGGAGGAGTTCGACGAGTATGCGAATCTGATGAGTACGCGCGACAAGCATTGGCTGATTGGCATCCAGCTGTCACAGCTGAACACGGACACTCCGTACATTGACGACTACTATTACACGGTGTACAAGGAGCGCAAAAACGGGCAGGTTCGTCACAGTCAGGCACACAAGGACAACCAGCTGAATCATCCACTGACGCAACCGCGAGGTCATGCGCAGCTCATTATGGTTCAGTTGGGCAACAAAAATGGCTCTCGTAATGGGCAGCAGCACCGCGAAAGACGCAACTCGGACAACACGAGCAGCAGCAACACCAGCGGCATCACAAACAGTGGCAACAACAGCAACATCCTCTCTGGATATGTGTTCTCTCCTCTGAAGTTTGAAAACTCTCTGGGCAAGTTACAGTATGGAAGTGTGACGGCGCCCCGCAAGATTATTGATGCTGAGATCATGGGCAGTGACAGCGCAACCGCTGACAATGCTGTGGTGGTATCGTCAGTTGCTAGGCAGAGCTCAGATAAAAACAATGAGGGCCAACCCGAGGTGGTGCTTGTGCCGAGCAGCATGCGGAAATCACGACATATTTTGCTGCACATAGAGACCCTATATAGGTATCTGCTCAAGTTGGAGGACCTGGAGAGTCCGGAGGTAATGGCAACCATTATATTAAAGAAGAAGAAGGAGAGCGAACGCATTGCCGCCGTGGAGCAACTCGAGATGGCGAATAAAACGCCCGAAGAGCGAGCGGCTGAGGCGAATAATCCACAAAGCATGAATCCAGCGCTTAAGAACAAATTCAACTATGAAATTGAGCCACGCGATGTTTTAGTGTGTAAGCTGAAAGCAGGTCTCACTTTCAATAAGGTTGTATCGATGATGAACGTGCGCAAGGGCAAGGTATTTGATATGCTTTTTTATATCTATGTGTCGCACATGCTTATAGCTTATGTTTCTGCACTCTTCAGATACTATTACGCCGCATAATGCCATTTATTGCTGATCAGCCGATACGTTGGACAGTGTGGGGCGGAGTATTCTGTTCACTGCAAAATGTCGTTAAGAAGGATCGAGAAGATGTGGATGGCTGTCTCTTTGCGCTTTACCCGGAATTCAAAAATCAAATACATGAAGCGAATTTAGAAACAATTATCAACATTTCAACTGCGTTTACCATGAACGATAAAAAGATGTCGGGCATTTTTTGTAGTCGCGTAAGTTTGTATAATGCCTTGCATGTATATGCCAGCCATTTTTAATGATTGATACATATTTCATCATTCCTTTAGTTTGGCATTCTGTCGCTTGTTGGATTGATACTACGCGTGGAGGCGATCTACGTTTCAAACACCGACTTAACGCTTACCGAGGAGAGCCGACAAAAGTGGCGTGAGTTTCTTGCGCAAGTTGCTTCCTGTCTTAACCGCACCATTCAGAATCAAACCATCTCGGCGGCTATTGAGTCAGATGCGATTCAACCAATGATGAATCACTTTGCGCGTTTCAAGGACTTGAAACTAGATGCGCTTCTAGCTTTAATTACACAAGCTAAACATCAAATAAATTAAACGCAGGCATTATTCCTTTTTTTCAACTAATTTCGGGATGAGAAAGTCATAATAGAAAATAACAAAACTCCCTTGTATGAGGTCTGACATTAATGTCTTATTCAGCAGTTAATATATATGTTTAAAATATGAATTGAGTTGTATTGTTTGATTTTACCTAAAAATTATGAGAAACGCGCACAATTTGTAAGAGAAATTCATTCACACACACACACATACATGTACATATATCACCAGTAGAGCTCATATATATAATGAAACGCGAAACAAAATATAAAAGTACTCGTAAAAATTAGTTAACCATGTAAACAACTGCAAAAACAGCAAAACATATTTGTTTCTTTTCAAAAATCAAAATACTTTGTTATGGCATTAAATATTTTGCTCATTGTATATATGCCATTCTGTATTTAAAAGTGAATGATTGTCGACAACTGTATTTTGAGATCTGTTAAAATTGGCTGATTTGCAAAAGTTACATTTGTGAGTAATTCAAAATGATATATATATTTACATATATATATTGTGCTTTTGACAATTTAATGAATTCATTTTAATTTGTTCCACTCTTTCATTATCTATGTAAAATTTTTCTTAGTAACCTTTTACACAATTTCGGTACATTGTAAATATCAGGCTTGAAATGCATTGGAAGATGTATTTTTAGTTTCTTTTTGTATGAATTAAATTTACGTAAGCTCCTTAAAACACAATGTCTAGTTGTCTCACATGCATACAATTTTATATATATATAATATATACATAAAAGTTTCTATTACAACAAATATTCAAAATTGTGATACATTTTGTGTATTTAAAAGAGCCTAAAATGTAAGCAGAATTGTACCAGTATATAATTGCTCATTTCTGTTTTCTTTTTTTTTTTAGAAATATATACAAAAAGAAAAGCAGCAAAAAAAAAAAACTCGGACTAAATTTGTTTCAACCTCCGTCGTTTTCTTAACTCACAAATCTTTTTAGACCACTTAGATTTGTATCTATTTCAATAATATAAACATGATTATCGATTTTTAAGTGTTTTTCGTATCATAATTTAAGTTTCATTTATAACTCGATATATTTTTGGAGAAACAAAAATACTTATAGGTCGGCTTTTCACAATTAAATTACAGATTAAGTGTATGATATATTGCATATGATACAAAAGGTATGATGCATGTTTGTGTATACTAATGTATTTATAGCACCATGATGTTTGAATAATACATTTTTTAATCTTTATAAAAACAAACGAAATCTAGCAGATCAAAGCAAAAAATATACTTGGCGTAAAATATTAAGAAAACAAGTCTTATCATTTGTCACATTAAATAAATAAATATTTCTATTAAATAATTTCATTACTACTTTGATTTAAGAGAATTTTATAAAATGTCTTTAACGTTTTTT